CCCTGTGCCATTCCACATTATTACAAATAACTTCATTTCTGGACATTTATGGTTTGATTTCTTTGTATGTATGGATCACTTGGGTTGTTACCGACAYCTGGTGAAAATTTCATGTCATTAGCGCCTCTAGTAATATATTTACTGAGAAAAATGGTGATGTGTTCAATACTTATTTTACCCGCTGTAAGTGAAGGGGGAAACATTGATGAGTTGTACTCTTTTTTTTAGCATAGAAATCTGAAAAATGAGGCTGTGTTTGTTCTGATACCTGACACTGCACCACTTGAAAATTAAAAAGGGCAATTTATTTTCAGCATAAATCCAAGATGTTGTGTGAAAACCCATCAAGGTCTGTTACAAAACAGCGTCATGAAGACCCACACCCCAGGCAGGTCAGGGATAAAGTTTAAAGCATGGTCAGGTTCTAAAACAATCTGTCAAACATCTTCTGTAGGACTGTTCAATCCAATATCCAAGGATGAAAAGACCACGGCCCAGCTGGGAACCTAGCAAGTCATGACCAAAGTGACGAGCTGAGCAAAAACCTCTGGAGGGGCTGCAGAGTGGGAGAATTTGTCAACAGACAGCAAATCTGAATTTTATGAATGAGGGGCAAGAAGAAAGCCATCACTGAACCTCCTGAGAGAGGAGGTGGAGGACTGCAAACATATTTCTGTTCACCTGGACAATCATCTGAAAATACAGCAAGCTGTTTACAAAAGGGACAAAGGAAACTCTAATTATTTCACAGGATCAACATCTCCTTATGGTTCCCCTCACTCGCTTTAAGAACGCTGGTGACCGTGCCTTCTCCTCCGTGGCCCCCCCAGGCTCTGGAACCAACTCCTTTTTAATCTGCGCTCCCTTGACAACATTGTCTCCTTCAAGAAACACCTAAAAACCCACTTTTTTTACTCAAGCGTTTAGCTAACCATTTCACTATTACTGCCAGTCTACCTCCATAGTGAATGCTCACCAACTACGGTATCTGTTTTTTTTTTCTATTATTGAACATAAGGCATATTTTTCTCTCCCCCATTCTCTATGTTTTGTGTATCTTTGTATATTTTGCTCTGCATTGACCATGTGTCTGAGTTACAATTTTAGAATTTAATCTTATTATGTTCTTATGTTTTATTCTGTTTCATTTTATTCTTTCCACCATTTTTACTTTGTTAATGATTGTACAGCACCTTGTCAATGTATTTCTGTGAAAGGCGCTTTATAAATAAAATTTTACTTACTTTACACTTACTATTTGATATTGGTGTTAAGATGTTACTCTTTTAATAATTATTTTTCTGTTGGAGCATCAGAGTGCTGAGCAAACTGATTGAGAGAGCTGTGCTGGAGACCCCACAGCTGACTGTGCACAAAAAACAAGAACACGTTGAACAAGTTTCTCAATGTAACGCACAACACTGCACACCCTCTTACACCGCTCTAAACAAGTGCTTTAATCAGCTCTGCTACAACAGAACAAGAGCTTCTTCAACCTCACAGTTACTCTAATAGTATTAATGACAATAAGTTTACATTTTTTTTGTTTTTAATTTAAAATAAAACAGTGCAGTTTGTATTTCATTTTATTCCATTTCATTTAGTTTAATGTAAATAAAACATTGCACTCTCAGGAACATGAAATATTTTAAGTGCACTTAAAGGAAATTCATTATTTTTTTAAAATAACTAATAAAAAAATGAAGCTAAATCCTGTGTCCTCATTTCTCTTTGAGTATGTACAAAACTGAAAAATTCAAGACCTCAGTGTCCCCCTGAACAAAAACAAATAATTATTACAGCTGTCCACAAATTCAAGCTTCTTTGTTTCACATTGTCAAAGTTTTCATTTCCCAAAGTGTTGCACAAACTGCACGTTTGCTAATCCTCCTCTGCGGTTTGTAGGCCAGAGGTCAAAGGTCAGGATGGTGTCACTGTGCAGACGGTTGTTCGGTGATTCCACTCCGCAGACTCTCCTCTGCCAACTGGGACAGATATTTCTGGATAAAAAGAATAAAACATGTGTTAAATAAAACAACCTATCAGACTGTATTAGCCTGAGAGGATGTTTATTAATATTTGTACAATACAACAGCATTACAACAGTACAGTGAAAACCAACAAAGTTGTGTTTCACCTCTGTCTTTTGTGGATTTTTTTCATGGAACCTGGTCTGCAGTAACCTGTGTGGTATCACTGAAACTGTAAATACAACAAATTTTTTTAATCTTTTCTTGTGCTTTTTTGTGAGTTTTCAAGCTACATTATTATGAATAATATAATTTTATAATTTAACACAAATATTAATGCAAATATAGTGTAAGAAAAATACGTGTTCAATACGACTGAAGTCAAGATGAAAACACAATTGTTAAATAAAATGATTTGTGTACGGAATAAAATCATACAACACCAGAATTCTGGACCTGAGTGAGGTTTATTTGTCACCGGCTGACAAGGAAAACCACACATGCCAAAACCCAGGAAGTACATCTTTTTATACACGATTCTTCAATGCCTGAGTTCGCCCCCTACTGACCTATGGCTGAATCACAGGCATTCATCCAATAAACTCAACCTAATGTTATCATAACGGTTCACTTATGTGTTGTTTATGATTCGGGCATGTAACTACTCTATATCAATTAACACATAATAGATCAAATGTTATAAAAATATTACATAAAGGAAACCCTAATAATCTAGTGTTATGCTTCTAACATCAGTACTAATTTGCAATAACTATTTTAATAACTAATTTCTTCAATAGTTCCATAAAAACGAAAATACTTCAGTACGTGATGCATGCTGTGCCCTTGCTCCTCCTGGAGCGCAGCTTTTCTGCCTTCTAACAGTGATAAATGATGTGTAGCTGTTTACATCTTGTGTGTTCTTGTTTGGTTCTTACGGTATTAGGACGCCACCACAAAAACACTGTAGAATTGGTAACGCTTGCTTTTACGGTACACTTATTACCATGTAATTACGTGATAATTAGGGTACAAAATAAAAACTACTGTTAGTAAAACTACCTTTATTGGGTAACTACAATCAAATTACTATTAAATAGTAACTCACTATATTTATGACCAAAAGAATGCAACTAAATTTTGGGATTAGTGGTTAATTGCAATAAATTATAACTTTAAAGCTGTCCAAATTACCTACTACTTATTTTGGTGTTACATAGTGAATTATAATACATTTCCAGGTAAGTGCTATATTGATTGATTGATTATTTATTTATTTCAAGTTAGTCAAAACAAAATTATATTCGTTAATCATATTAGATTCGAATAGAGAAAAGAAAAAAAAGAGAATAAAAATGATTTATAATGACTAACACACTCGATCCTTTAAAAAAACAAAATACAATAAAGAAAAAAATAACTAAATTGAAAAGGAGTGGGATGAAGACAAGCTTGTTTACTCCCACTCCCATTCACACATTCTTTATACAGATTCCACCATTACAGATGATCAATCATTATTATAAAACTAATTGTCATAACCTAACACAATGTAATGACCCATCAACAGCATTACATAAATATGATGCTTCAATACTATATACATTTGTGTGTACACATATACACCTGCGCACACACACATACCCATATGTACATACACACTAACCTGCATATCTACAATTGAACATATTCATACAATTACCATTACAATGTTAAATTGTACTTATTCCTTTTATGCATTATGATATAATTTTTTATTTCTATATACTTACTATACTTTACTGTAGACATTTACATAGTAAAGTTACCACCTAATTACATGTAATAAGGTAGTAATTACATTTTAATTACCGTATATTTTTATTACCATGTAAAAGAAAGCGTTACTGTAGAATTTTACTGGACCGCATGCAGTAACCACATTTGTTCACGATTTGTTGGCACTCTAAGAAGGTTTCCTTCATTTAATTCATTCATCCAACTATTATATTTCAGAATCAGTATTCTGAGTCTGAAATATAATAGTTGGTGTTTTTCTGTGTTTAGTTTTCTGTTTTGACTTTTTTGTGTTTAAATCTTATGTTCAGTTTCTGGATTTACTTTGTGTTTAGTTAGATTTTTGCTTCCTTGTGTTTCTGCCTTTCTAAGTACATTTCCACAGAGTCTCTGCTCCCCAGTCATCCTGGCATGTCCCTGTTTCATGTGTCACAGCTGCAGCCACTTCTCTCTTCTCTTCCCCAATCTCTTTCAGGGTTCACTCACTTTACGTTTTCTAACACAGTGGCCACACCTCCGTGCTTCCCCTCAAGTCTCTTTGGGCGTCCCTTTTTCTGATTTTCAGTTTTTGCTGTTAAGACAGCTTTTTGTCCTGGAGCCAAACTCACACATCTGTGACACTAAACCGCTTTAATATGAAAAGATTAGACAAAACTCTCAATCATCATTAGTAATACAGCTGGTAAAATAAAAATTGAACATGTCACCATTTTTCTCAGTAAATATATTACTAGAGGTGCTAATGACATGAAATTTTCACCAG